TAATACAAGAATTGCACGGGAAGAAAAAATATAAGGATCGCAAATTATTTGCCGGTAACAAATATTTATTCTTTTTTATACTCGTTATAAAAGATTATTTCAATAAATACAAAATATTTATCAAATATTGCAATAAATACAAAATATTTATCAAATATGCAAATTTGTTTGCTATAATAAATAATAAACAAATTTGATGAACAATTAAATGCAAGCTTTTTGCGTTTATTATAGTTCAAAATCAATTTTCTTCATATGAGAATAAGTTAGAGAATTATTATAAATTACTAATAAAAATTAACATATTATTAATCGAAAACGTATTAGTTCATCTTTCGTTGTTATTGAATGTGTGTGTTATTGAATTCACTCGTATTTAGAAAGACATACAGTTTCAAGTTTATCAAATAATGTTTATTTAAATCATTGTGCAAAGTTGTTAAAGCTGATATAGGTTTTTCTTCTTTATTATAAAATTTGTGATTGTATTTAGCCTTTATTTTTTACCATCATTTATTTTTTTTGACTTTTTGTATATATTATAAACATATGTAATTGAAAAATAGCTAAATAGAAAATAAAATAAAATCATCACGGACATTCAGACATTATACCCAGAGAAAGGTTACTTTAATTCAAAGAAATGTTTCTTTGCTACGGTTAGAGAAAAAAATTTCTTTGATTTGAACATCATTTTTTGAAATCAAATAAAAAAATTTATTTGATTTAAAAAAATAATGTTCAAATCAAAGAAATTTTTTTTCTCTAATCGTATAGCAAAGAAACATTTCTTTGAATTAAAGTAACTTTTCTCTGGGTGTAGTTTCCACAAAATATACAATCAATAATATGTTAATATATGTACAATACATATATAATGTGTTATAACAATAATATTATGTTACTATAATTAGTTGATATTTACTGTGGGTAACAGCTTGTTATACTTTAAGACTGCGTTCAATTTGGACGCTCATCACGCCCATTTTCACAATATATGGTTATATCGTAGTTATCTAAAAAAAAAAGATTAAAGGTTACCAAGAAGTTCCTAAATGAATTTCATAGGCTGCGTTCCACTTAACGCTCACAACGCTCGTGGTATCATTTCATCCTTGTCGTTTATCAAATGTTAAACAAGGACAAACAATGCTCGCGAGCGTTGCGAGCATTAAGTGGAACGCAGCCATTGATGAACCTCTTGGTAACCTTTAATTTTTAGATTAATAGATACATATTGTAAAAACGTGTCATAAGCGTAGTTTCCTATATACTCTACAAAACAGAGCGAAATATTGCCGTCATATTTATATATTCAGACTCTATAAGGAAGAGTTTCTAGATAGAGCAGATTTGACGATACAGAAATACATTTTATCAGTAGTAGATAATGTTGCACGATATACTCAGACCTCAGAAAGAAGTTGCGTCGATGAAATATCGACATATTATCGTTTATAAATACAGGACACATCTTATCAGTTTACAACGCATTGCCGAATCGTTTGTTGCTTGCAAATGGGAAAAGTAGAAAGTGCATACAAGTGCAATGATAAAAATAACTAACTGTATTGCCTGCGTAGCGTGAATGCACTGAGCGATGCATTCAACTGATTCAACAATTTCCTCACGTGACGAAAGGAGACGCATTTGTTTGACGGCTTTTCATACGAGTGTATCGAAGAGAAAGACTTCCATATGATTTTCTTGTAAATAACGTGATATCGCTTGTCGAATTAGTAATATTAATCAGGTAATTTAACGATATTAAAAATTCGATAATTTAACAATTAATTAGACAACACATGACAGATTTTCGTATAAAATATTTTGTAACATAGAATTAGTAAAATTAATTGCAAAGTTTCCTTAATAAAAATAATGTTTGCAAGTTAAATTTTCACCCGGTGGATACATGCAACGTGATATAACCTCAAAATGATAATTAGTTGACTGTGTTGATTTTTGTGACAATTAATTGAGTATGTTGATTCCTGTTATAGCGGATAAATTAACCAATTGACAAGTATTATTTATAAATAAAACAACACACATGGCTGGACAACAACATCCTTTTCTATCTGGGTTTCCCAATGTGCAGCAGTCAGCTATGCGCACACAGTTTGGTGGCGGACAAATGGTTTCTGGTTTGATGGGGCCACAGCAAGGAAGTACGTATATGAAGAATTCCTTCCTATTCGTAATGTTTTCATTTGTATGGCGATATATGTATCTGATAATACTGCTGTATGTAATTTATAAATAATATGGAACACAGATGTATGTCTATTTTTGTCTGTTTACTTCCATTTGTTTGTTTATTATTGAGAGTACTGTTTACTTATGTCTCAACGTTATGTAAAAGTTAATTGAAATATTATGACTTCATCTTCAAAGTCAGAATCTTATACATTTTAACTCATTATCTCTGAGTAAAAATTTTTAATATTTTCAAGTGATTTCGAATTGCGAATCAGATTCTTCATATATTAAGTATGTATACAGTATTAAGTATATATAAATTTTTTTTAACTATTAAAAATAATAGATTGTTTTAATGAATTCTAATTCATTTAAAAGCTATGTTTAAAAAGTAAAATAGATTGATAGATTAAAGGATTGGTATTTGTAGAGATATTTGTGAATAATATAATCTAATGTCTATAAAATGTCTATAACATTTTGAAAACAAATTATAAACTAGAAATTAAGAAATCAATTAATAACTATTATTTCAGATATGGTGAGCTCTCAACAATTTGGCATGGGAGTTGGAGTTGGAGTAGGTGTTGGTAATGTTGGATCTAATGCCATGGGAATGCCCAATTCCCAACAAGTCTTGGCACAACAGCAACAACAACAACAGTCCATGGCAATGCAACAACAAATGCAGCAGATGCAGCAGCAACAATTACAATTGCAACAGCAGCAACAGGCTGCAATGGTTCAACAGAATAATCAGACGAATAATCAAGCCACAACACCACAGACTCCAGTACCACCCACACAGCCACCACCTCGACAACAACAGACTAAGGAATTCAATACTGCTAGTTTATGTAGATTTGGACAAGAATCTGTACAGGAAATCGTCAGTCGTACTTTAGAGCTCTTTCAAACTCTCAAAGTCCTTCAACCACCCAATGGTTATTTTTCTAAATCTTTAACTAAATAATTACGATATCATCAAATATACATTTTTTTGTACATACATTATTCACGAATGTAGGTACTGCACAAGGAGCGAATATGGCGAATGAGAAAAAGAAAAAAGTCTACGAACAATTGGAAATGATCAAAATAATGTTTAAACGTCTAAGACTAATATATGAAAAATGTAATGAGAATTGTCAACTACAAGGAATGGAATATACGCATATAGAAAGTTTAATTCCGTTGAAAGAGGAATGGGATATGAAATCTGATGAGAAAAAGACTTCGGAAACTTACAGACTTAGTTGTGAGGAGAGGAAAGAAGTTATGGAGGTGAGACGAATAAGATTATATTATCTACATTAATATATTAAATTTTTATATTAAATATCGATAAGAAATGGAGTCTGTTTCTTTTTCAGCAAGTGATATTAAAGAATAGGCACATTAAAGAAATAATCGATCACCTAAGACGCATTATTTCGGAAATAAACACAATGTTAAATATGCGTCGATCTTAGGTTACCAAATAATATAAATAGATAATTATGTTTACATATATTATTCTAAGAAACACATTAAAAAAATAAATTTCTTTTTACAACATTGTTTGACATTACAATTTTCACCTGCTTGTCATACATTTCTGTCTTTCATTGATCGATAATATCGATATCAACGTCCATGTCTACGTCTACAAAACAAATTATATCACTACTTCGAAGGATGGCTTCGAGTATCGTTCTCAGTGGTGTTTTCAAGCTCTTCACGAAAACTTTAGAGCATTCCACATCGCAACCCCTGAATTTGCCTAATATGTGTATGTTGTAAATGAAATTTTATTGGTTTATCTACAAATATACCAGTTGAGCATGATGCAGCATGATGATTAAATGATGTAAATAATTCGAGAAATTATTTACATCAACATTGAATAAACGTTAACGATGATTAACAAGTATTTCCTGCACAAATAATAATTTAAATTTTATTATTAAGCATTGTGTAAAGTGAAATGGATTTTGCTTGAATTAGCGTAATATGATCTGAAAAAAGTGATATACTATACTAAAATTAATTCAGAGAGATTATTTCCATTCACTTTACCGATAAGAATGATTCTTTTGAGCTTGATTGAGATGAAGTAAAGATTAAACGCGGACTTTCTTACCGATAGTGCCGGTAACGACACGCAGAAAACGTTCGCGCAGAAACGCACGGACCTTTTGCTTCTCTAAAGTTGCAAATGCCAAATCGGATTCATTCGAATTATTTTCGTCCGGTTCATTCATTTTTTATCCAGGAAACGTTCCGTTTCAAGATTGATGCTACGAGACATGATATCTCATGGCGGAATCAACATGAAGATCGCGTGCATATCGAAGATAACATTGGCGCTTTATTTGAATTCTTACAAAGCATTATCAGTCGACAATTATAATGACGTGGCAGATAGATTATCCAGCAGTGAATTAAAATTTAACATAAGTCCATTATTACGTCAATATTATAAATATTAGGAACAATAAAAAAAAAGTGAAAGTTGAAGCAAAGGTGAGCATAATATATAAAATGCGTGATGGTTTATTGAAAGTAACTGTAAAAATAAAAGAATTTCTAATGTTTTGTGTCAATAATTGAAATATGTATCTCGATTGATTTAAATATTAAATATCTTGATCATACACTTTATTTCTGTAAAATTTTCTATAAAAAAATTTTTAGGTATATTTATAATACGAAAGAAAAAAAACAACGTAAAGTTATGTGATGTATTAAACTTTCTGTTTAGATTTTACATAATTAGAAAAAAAACTACTTTTAATTTTAATGCATTTGTTTACTCCGATTCGTAAGATCTTTCCGAATATGAAAGTTTTGAAAGTAGTCAAGTACAATGAAATAATCTCGGGTATCCTACATCAATAGCCCACATTCTCAATGAGAGGCGTAACTGCCATGATCAGGAAGCTTACAATTAGATCGATGCAATTACCATACTTATAACGATATCTGCCACAAACACACTTTCTCACAGTTAAACATGGGGGCGACCCGCAGCTTTTTAATTTCGTCGGACAGTCTACGCGATGTCACCTCATTTTCGTTCCGATCACGACATGGTGAAGATGGGTTCCCTCATCATTGTTTTAACTGCCTTCGCTGTATATTGCAGTGGTAAACAACTATTCGACATTCGAGTGATATTTCAATGTCGATTCTGTGGCTACGTTGTCTGAATGCATCTCATCGCCTCCAACGACTCTTTTTGTTGCAGAGGTGTATTGTGACACACTTCCGACTAAGATCGCTAAACCAGAAGATACCGTTCTCCTCGAAAGAAACAACAGCAGTCATGCGACAATTGAGACGGGAAGCTTTTGGAAGAATCTCAGTCTATCGAAACGCAAACCGAAAGTGGTAGAGTCGAGGAGTCTGGATAATATAAACAGCGAGATGAATAAGAGGAAAGGGCGATTTTTAAGTAGTTTAGCCTTTCTAACTGGTCTCAGCTTCGGTGGATTAGCCACCGCGGCATCTTCCACTATGAAGAATATTGCTAAGATACCACAGATGTTCAGCATAAACCTAGGTTCTTCCAAAACCTCACCGTACTTCGCCGCCTATTATAGCCAATATCCTCCCTTGCTACCTTATCCGTTTATCTATCCCGGTGCCTTTGGACTCGCGCCGGTGATTGACTCCACGAAACCCCAGACGACGCAGAACGATTTAACGCCGCAAGTGATAAACCTATTCGACAATAGACCGAACGATATTGCGGGAAATAACGAAGACTATACAGATGCAGAGACGTCCAACGTGGGCAACGGGGCTGATGATCGCATAAGATTGCAAGCCGAAGCTGATCGAAACGCGGAAGAGAAGGTAAGGATGTAATAGATCTCGGCTCGCGCCGCGATGAGCAAATAGAAATCAGAGCGGAAAGCCACGCGACGTTTTATCTCGATGTGCATCTCACTCAACAAAAAGAGTATCGTGCTTTCTCATAAACTCCAACATCGATTACTCATACGATCAATTACGCGAAAGTATTAGTAATATATTTGTGCTACATAAATTATAATTATTAATCGCTTATTAATACTTATTGTTAGAGCAAGAGCACACGACAAGCAAAGTGTCGGCCGACATTGTTGTGTTGTTTATGGAAAACAATTAAAATTGTTCAAATTAATGAAGAGACCCACGCATTCATCAAGGAGTCTTGATGCCTAGTAATATACCGTTGTGAGTTTTTACAAATTCCAGTTCAAAGAAACCGCGTACCAATTATTTGTCAGAAACATAGTTTTAGATTGAAGCTGGAATATCATAAATTAAATTGATAAGTTAAATAAAATTTACAACTATTGATGTTAATGAGCATTTTTATATGTAAAGCACTGTAAATAATTTAATTTAATTAAAATTGTGTCGTACCTATATGTGTTACATACAAAAATTCCCATGGACTTTCTTTAAACACAACAATCGGTCGACTTTATCTGTCATGTACTCTTGCCCTTACAGTGTACGTTCGTTTAATCTATAACAAAGCTCCTAATCTTTAAACAAAATTCTAGAGCGAGCTTTAAAGTTTTTCTGTTATTTATATCCGATAAATGCGACACATGTCTCTCGTATTAGGTTTACTGCTGGATCTTTTTGTGCAAGAACAGGTCATCTTATCGCGTATGCTCAGATAACATAGTATACGACAGGTATTTTTGTGACAAATGATTAAGGCTTCATTTGCCTTTCGTAACTTCCACGCGTGACTAGACGTATGCGCCTGTAATTTTATTTGGGTCCATAATGTATATGTATCAAAATAACGCGCGTTGAAGTATTGGTTCTTAAATGGAGTAGTATCTTATATAAAGTCATACGTGTCTAGGCGCTAATCTCGTCGTAAAAAATATATTCCTTTATTTTACTTCGCTTCTGTTTTAAGGCGCGTACAACATAACTTTGATATAAAAGATAACATTTCTATAATGTTCTAGTAACGGAAACAATTCTTTTTTTTTATCAATTTAATATCGCGTATTATATTTTGATTCTTTTATAGAAATATATTTGTTTATACTTGATTTGTGACTTTGTATATTAATTCATGTTATTGATAAATATTATTAACAAATTTATGCACGGAAAGAACGTAGCTATAAATACTGGTTTAAAAATAATTTTGTTCGAACCATCAAAAGAATTGCGTAGAACACTTAAACTAATTGCTAGAATGTTAAAACTTGTTACAGCATTGTCATCAACGTTCTACATAATTATTTTGGTGATTCAATTATTTTCAGATCTGTATCTAGCTACATTTTTAGATACTTCAGCAAAACTGTTCTTTTCTTGTGTTATTAACAAGTATTATTAACAAATTTCACTAGAATACGATACGCGGGTGTAAAGAGGGTCAGCGGAGGCGCGCCAACGTGAAAGGAACAACCAGAGAGCGTGAATATCTTCACGAGAATGCCGTTAATTTGCAAGCAAGCTTGAATTTTCGTCGATCTGAGAATTCGACGGAGAAACCAGATGATACAATATCAAATAAGCCTACTATGAGACCTAATACTACCACAATTTCACCTGACCATACAAATACAACGCATCACCACCATCATCACCATCATCATATTTTCCCGGGATATTATGGTGGATATCCACAGAATATACATCATGTGGATCTTACAACATCGCATCCGTACAGCCAGATCGATTATAATCCACCGTATGAACAGCACACTAATTTTTATCAAAACGACAAATATAATGTTTACCAAGGCTTTAATCCATCTTTATCCGCGCCATTCTCATCCGATCAATCAAACGAATTCGCAGGCACGGATTATAACAGAGTATATCCTTCCGGATATCCACCATTAAATATCAGCGATGGTTTTACACCTCTAAAATAAATGATACTTTTTATACAAAGATCATTAACGTCTACTAAATTATGAAGTAGATCGTGTCTAATGAGTTTATAAAAATGAGAATATATTTTTAATTAAAAATTACTTATACAAAAATAAAATAAATTTTAAGCTAATTTAACATAAAAATTGATAGGGTGTTTATATATAAGATTACAATTTTTATTACGTACCTACTATGAAGCATTATAATTAATTTTCAAGTTAATTGTACTAAAATTTCGAAAATTTTTAAAAACGCTTAATATAATTCGTTTTGTAATTCTGGTAAAACCGAGATTTTTTGTTATAATTTTTAGTGTTTATGTATAATATAATTTTATTTTTGATACATTAGCAAGCACGTTTTTCTTATATATTTTTTTAATTATAAAAAATTAATTATAAAACATTATCAATATAAATTAAACTCTCTCTTTCTGTTAGAAAGTTTTCTTTTTATATTATACTTTATAATATCCATCTTATACAATTTAGGAAAAGGTAATTATTCACGAAATACTTGTGGCATTAATTAACAAAAAAAACAGAAATATATATTGTACTGTCAATTATTGAAATAATATATTGCTTGTCAGTTTTATCTAGTTGTATTTTAACTTATGATCCTTACCAATTTAAATGTAATTATTACCTTACAATTAGTAGATTTTCTATGACGCATTTGTTTTTTAAAAAATATATTTCTTGTAAACAACTCTAGAATCTATTTATTATATGATGTTATCAACGATTATGATTAGTATACAATTCTTATCTAAGCATTTAATTATTGTATGGAAAAATTATTTAAAGTTAATGAAATACAATCTTGAAAAAAAATATGTACAAATTGGATGAGTAATGTTTTATGCATTACGTATAAACATTCTGTATTGAATAAAAATTACGGAAAGTTATATGAATAATCAGACATTATTTTCTGTAATAGGTAGAAGTCTAATTACATTATTGCGCATAACACATTTTTCCATTCTTTTTTCAAGTAATTATTTGCATTATTATTGCTAGAAAAAAGCCTTCGAATAATTATATTAATCCACAAATTTTTAAATCACATCACTGCGGGTCAATTTTGATTCGTAACTGATTATTGAAGGCAATTTCGAGATGCGTATAAAAATAATATTCCACGAGAGAGAGAAAGAGAGAGAGAATGTTTATGAGAAGTTTATATTCTCGATAATACGAGTTTCTACATATGTGACTTGTTTGAACAATTGCTCAAGAAGTTACACAGTTGTTCGAGATTTTGCGCAAGCCGATAATTCGCTAATAGTATTCAAGTTTCGTTGATCGGCGTGAGTAGCACAATGACATTTACCATCGGAAATAAACGGATAATAAATAAATGACTATTTCGTCGGAGTCTCAACCAATTGGACGTCGTCGTGCGCAAGGAAGAAACCTGTTTTATTTTCGGACGAGTTTGGAGGGCTGGGCTCCTCATCTATTTCGAGAAGGCCGCCAACCGCTGGTATTGTGTCTCTAAAGACGCCGGTACTTTGCAGCTTTCGCGCGTAATTTTTCAGCTGGCAGATTTTCATCTAAATCGCGCATCGACGTTCGACGTTCAATTCATGATAAACAAAGTGAAAATAAAAAACAGAAGAAAATATATCTTGATATATTGCCTTCATTTTCAAAGTGATACAAATATCGTTAATAAAAAATATTGTCATATCCTAAGTACCCTAATAGCACACTTTATTCGAAGGACATTCTGGCGAACGTTCTTAGGACATAGGGATATCCTCTGAATGTTCTTTGGAAAGTCCCTTGGAGATCTGTGCTATTAGGGTAAAGGGACTATTATATTGTAATTAAAGAGATACTGTTAAAATTGCAAAATAAAATAATGCATATCCAGAAAAAAATGTAGGTTGCTAAAGATGCGGAAAAAGTACAGAAAGTATGCGGATACGATATGTAAATGCGTGTACCCGGATATTTAATTATTGTCATCGTTGCGCTTTCGCTTTTAACCCAGCCGGGTCGGGCCGGCGAGCAGGGTTTCAACAAGTCGCGCGTGCCTCTGTCCCAAAGTGCGTGTGAAAGACGGGAGCTTTACAGGCGGGTGAGTCAATCGCGAAACTCTGACATACCGCGATTACAGTAATTTCCCTCGATCGTTACACTCTCAGCGTGACGTGCGTGTCGTATGATACGTCGCTCGCCCGATTCCATGGGTTCGAGGCGCGGTTATGTGGGTGAACCGTGCATTGCGTGCGCGATTGTGCAATAAACACGATGTAGGAAATGATCAGCTTCCTTCGCGGAAGTGCTAAGTTTTCTTTAAAAACGACGATGCTATCGAGCGCCACGTGGCTGGCCGATTTAATGCTCATTTCTCTCGGATGTGTCGTAAATAATTCTGTTTTTCAAAACACATGGCTCTCACGTAATAAGCTTCGTTTAGAACGATATCTGTAAAACGTTTTCGAACGAATTACTATAGGAATGATTAAGAAAAATCTATTTGGCAGGTGACGTCCTTTCAACGTGTCGTTCTCTCATAAACTTCGCGATTTTATTTGTGTTTTGTAACGTATTTCTGCACATCACGTTTAAGCACGATTGTGATAATTTTAACGATGCGATTTAACGATGCGATTTAACGATTGTTCGTAATCTTTTGCAATGACAAACGCAGACCACAGTAATTTTTCGTTTTTAGATTATGGCTGCTATAAAATATACAAAAATATATCTTTTACTTTCAAGCAAATACGTAATTTTGGACAGAATGATGAATATATTGTATACTCTGAAAAAAATGTCTGGTTGGATTAATTGGACTTGTGATTAAAAATGAACGATTCAGAATTTTCTAGTTAAACGTACTAGAATTCTAGTATAATAATCGAAGTTCTAATTAATATAATCAGAATTTCATGATCCGTCCATTTCCAACTAGACATTTTTCTCAGGCTAAGATTTAGTGTTATTTTCAAGACCAAAATTTTATTGATTAATTGCGTCCTATATCTATGAAATCGGACTAGATCGGGTCTCTTTAAATCTAAATATATACCGGGTGTCAGAGTTGAACGCCCTGGGATTTCCGGTTCTTGGCGTGTGCACTTCGCTTTTCTCCCTTCACAGTCCTTTTTATTTTTCGTGCAAGCACTTACGCGTCGTCTCTTCGTATCTTCTCCTCATACTCACTTTCTGCTACCGACGATCTCGTTTTTTTTTTCACGCGAAACCCAATAGCCCTGTATCCTCTAGGATACTCCAGGACTATTTCCTGCGAGAATGTGCCGGTCAAGCCGGATGGGAAACCGCAAATGTAGAGCCCCATGGTCCCACCTTCCAGTGATACCGTATACGCAATTCAGCATATATATTTCACATAGGAAATAGCAGCTTGAACTTTTAAATAAATAATTATTTATTCGAATAACATACATTTTAGATACTTAAACAGATTCTTTTGAATAAGAACTCTTCTATTGAATATCATTCTTTAAATTTTTTTTGGAATAGAATCTCACTCTAAAAGAGTAAAACTTCACTCTTAAAAATTGAACATTCTATCATTCTCTTTCAAAACTGGAGGAATATTTATTCTTTAAAGTGAGATTTTATTCCAAAAAATTTAAAGAATATATTTGGTTATATCTTATTTCGATGATTATCATCCTTAATAAAATAACATTTATAAAAATACAATTAAATTCAGAAAAGCTATAGTTAAATATCGCATGTTTAATAATTGTGACTAATAAAAGCGTTAAAAATAGCTGTAATTTTATGGCAGTTTTGTGAAATTATTCAGAGTATTTTGACGAACTTTTTAGATCAGGTACTTCTCAAGATTCGTTTCTTAGGATTTGAAAGGGTGCTTCACTCGTCGCAATGTGCACGCTAATAAAATATTGCCGAGTCGTACGCACGTGCGTCGTGCACACAGAAGCGAAACGGTTCGTTCGGTGTGGTAAATGCACCACGGTTGGGTAAGAACCCTGGTCTCGTATATGGGGGACGACAGAGAGACAGCTGTGGGGCAGCTGGCAGCGCGTGCCATGAACCTATGGGGTCTCCTTCGAGCGCGGACGCGACGGACGATGATATCCTATATTCCGTCATACGTAAGTAACGGCAGGTTTCGAACAATGCGACGTTCCCGAGCCTCGTCTATCCTTGGCATCAAAGGGAACGTAGCTGGGCAGCTACGAATTATCGCTGCCTGGTTGCCTGCCCCCGGAAGCACCGTGTAATAAAACTCCTTACGACTATCTACGACTGTGATTGTTTGCATAACGTGTATAAGAAACTCCTTGGAGCACCATTACTCTTCATATTGATTTTCATAAGAACATAATCGTAACTCGACTAGCTCTTTACTGATGAAACATAAAATCTTTCTCTCTCTGTGGAGTATAATGTAGTAAAATTCATGAAACTGTACATAGGAGAATTGCTTTTGTAGAAAAGTTATTTTAATTTAACAAAATAAATTTATATTTTTCCGGAACCATAAATATATAATAAATCTTTATAAGTTTATTAAAAAAGTATTATAATTTGTTAATATTTTATTGTTTTATGTATTTGATACTTAGTATACAAAAGTGAAAATTAACATTAAGATTCTTGATATAGTTTAAAAAAAAAGTCGTTATACAATGCGGGATGCCGGATGTTCTGCATTTTCTAATTCAAGATAATATGCATTCATTTTTTGTTTGTATTGCATTTGTAATGTTCGTACAAGGCGCATTTTGAAAAGGTGTACTTTCCTCGTGAGTTTTTCACCGGCCCGAAAGAAAAAGGATCAGCGAGTTCAAAGCTTTCGGGGGAGAACGTTTCAGGCCAGCGAACATCTGCCGTCGTCTGCAACGATAATAATTCGAACAGCTGATGCTCTTCCGCGGACCACCGCCTCGCCTCGTAGATCCCTTAGAATCGCTTCGCTTTGTTATGCATTTTCGTAGGAGAAATTCTCGCGGAATAAAGGAAGGATTTCGGTATTTTCGATCTTCTACTCTAATAAAACTCTTGT